AAAGGGAGTATGCTGGCTATCAATTGTATCCCTTCTGGTGCCAGTAACTTTGCCTCCAAACATCTAGTTTAACATTTTTTCCTATTGATTTGAGTTCTTTTTAGAGACCCATATGTTGAAAGACCTGATAATTTCAGAGAGAAGGCAAGGTCTATTATTTCATTTCTCAGAGATTTCTGGTAATTGTAGAAATCTCAAGCTAAAGGCACTGTCAATGAACAAAATGGAATTCATATCAGGTTTTCCATCATGGCTACCAGATAATGTGCTGGATATTCTATGCATTTAGAAGCCCATGTGATTATCGTAAAAACCCTGCAAATAAACCTGTTTCATGCAAGAAAGAAATGATGGGGAGGGTACAATAGTTAGTCCAAACAAATAATCTGTGTTCTTTCAGTTGCACTATTGGGCCACTTTAAATATCCTCAATGTTTATTATCTTTATAAAACACACTGTGGCATTTCTGGGCAAATATGGATTCTCCCAGACCTGTTTCCCTGCCCAGTAGAGCCTGATCAAGACAGAATGAACAGTTATTTAACAAGCCATGGCTAAAGGATTGCCTTGTGAGTATATCTGGTAGAGTTCCCTTTCTGGACACTCTGTCCTTAGAGAAAAGGCTAATAAAATTATATATCATATATAATTGTATAAACTTGCTTTAACAGGAAATATGGGATACATGGAGAGGGCTGAAATCTCCATAGCCTGGATTTATGTACATCATCAAAATAATTAATGAGGATAATGATTGAGAAATTTGTAGCAAGAATATTTATATTCTCCTACGTAAGTCAGGTCACTTGTAGCTCTCCCTCTATTAAGAGTAAACCATGAAATTTACCCCATATAAGGAGATGGTAGCTGTGCCCAGAACACTCTCATGTTTTTCTGCTTCTTTTATTTTATTTATTTATGCATTTATCTTCTTATTTACCTATTTACTTATTTATTTTTTATTGTTCTTCAAGTACAGTTATCTCTATTTTCCTCCCACCACTCACCCCCCCATCCAACCTCCCAACCTCAATGTTATTCACCTTTAGCTCTGTCCACATGTCCTTTATACATGTTCCTTGATGACCCTTCCCCTTTTCCACCTCATTATCCTCTCCCCACTCCTGTAAGTGGAACCTAATCAAGAAAACAAACAAGCAAGCAAAATTATAGCCAGAGACGTTGAAATAAAGAACAAACTGATTCTTTTATTTATTTCCCAGAGTTAATCAAGATATATTTGACATGTAGTATGATATGATTTTATGGGGTACAATGTGTCCATAAGCAACAAAAGCAAAAATAAAGAAGTAGGACAACATAAAACTTAAAGGATTCTGCAGAGCAAAGGAAACCATCAACAAAATGAAAAGGCGACCCACATAATAAGAAAAAATACTTGCAAATCATAGAGCAGATAAGGGATTAATATTCTAAACATATAAGTAACTCATACAACTTAACGGCTAACAAACAAACAAACCTATTAAAATTAGACAGAAGAACCCTGCCTGTTGTAGTTCAGTGGATTGAGTGCCAGCCTGTGAACCAAAATGTCACTGGTTTGATTCCTAGTCAGGGTACATGTCTGGGTTGCCAGCCATGTTCCCAGTAAAGGGTGCTCAAGCAGGAACCACACATTGATGTGTCTCTCCCTCTGTTTCTCCCTCCTTTCCCCTCTCTAAAAATAAATATATAAAATCTAAAAAATATATACATAAGAGCTGAATAGACATTTTTCCTAGGATGAAATAATAAATGATCACAAGGTACATGCAAAGGTGTGCAACATCCTAATCATCAGGGAATTTCAAATAAAAAACACAATGAGCTATTTACCTCTTACTTGCTAAAGTGGCATTCTTCTAAAACACAAGAAATAACAAGCATTTGGTGAACATGTGGAGAAAAAGAAACCCTTGTGTATTATTGAGGCAGCCACTATGTAAAATAATGTGGTGGTTCTTCAAAAAATTAAAAATAGAACTGACTTACGATTTAACAATCCCTCTGGTAGGTATATATCCAAATGAAATGAAATTAGGATCTTGAAGAGAAATCTGCATTCTCATGATTATTGCAGCATATTTACAGTAGCCAAAAATGGAAACAGCCTAAGTGTCTGTCAACAGATAAATGGATAAAAAAGACAAGGTATATATGCAATTAAATATTACTTAGCCATGAGAAAGAAGGAAATCCTGCCTTTTGTCACAACTTGAATAAATCTTGAGAGCATTATGCTAAGTCAAATAAATGATACAGAGAAATAAAAATGCAATAAGATCTCTTTATATTGGGCATCTTAAAATACAAGATTCATGGAAACAAAATGTACAATGATGTTTACCAGGGGCTAGAGGTTGGGGGAAATGGGCAAGTATTAGTCAAAGGGTACAAACTTCCAGTTAGAACATTACAAGTTCTGGGGACCTAATATACAGTGGTAATTATAGCTAACAATACTCTATTATATACTTCACAGTTGACAAGCTCACTTTTTGAATTAATCATAAGGTGGTGGGCTTAAAAGCCAGGTTTAGTTGAAAAAGGAAAGGGTTTTCTAAATTTTCAAATCTCCTGTTTAAAGGTCAAGGCAAGCTAGCAAACTAGGAACAAAGAATTTTACTAGAGATATGGATACAGTTTAAGTGGGGAGGTGGTATCAGGGAAGTTAGCATCTGCCCTAGAGGAAGTGCCAACTGTGATGTTGTGAGATAAGGGGGGAAGCCAAAAGGATGTGCCTTTCTGGTTCCTTTGCCTCTGAGGGTTTTATCTCAGAGAGGACAAAACCTCAAAAAAGAAAAAAAGAAAGAAAAGAAAAAGAAAAAAGCAACAACTCAGAATAGATGGAGAGAGAATCTGAGATTATCTGGTGAAAATAGCAAGTTCCACCAGCATGGCCACAGTAAGAAAAACATCATAAACAGTGGAAGGCATTTACAAAGGTGAACTCAAACCAGCACTGCTTTCCCCACAGCTTCATGTGTATCAGATCCTAATGCCTCTCAGGTTTCTAAGAGGGTGAGAGGTGCTTAAGGACCAGGATTTGGATGAGAAACTTCAGGGTGGGAACTTTGCACCCAAGGGCATAGTGTGGGGTCAGTAGTAGTAGGTTCAGGTCTAGTTATTGCTCCAGCCAATTCAGAGGAAGAGGCTAAATCCCAGGGCAAAGAGCTGGAAATTTGACAGGATGAGGAGGGTAGCAGACACTCCCATTCCTCCCATATGCATTAATGCCATCCTAGGGACAAGCCAAGGAATAGAAACACAGAAAACAAAAAAAAAATATACCAATAGAGACCGAATTAACTGTAAGAGACTATTCTAAACTGAAGAAAACTATTTCATTACATGTGATGTATAGTATCTTCCTTAAGAACATGGATTTCAGAGTCAGACTTTCTGGTGTAAATTATTGTTCTGCCACTTACCCTTGTGAGGCTTGGGACAAGATGTTGCTCTGTCAAAGGTTCAATTTTCTCATCTAAAAAATGAGAACAACTTTAACAGCACAAAATAGTTTGTGAAGGTTAAACTAGGTAATGGGACCAAAATGTTTTTAGTACATTACCTGCCACAAAGAATGTTTTAATTATCACGAGCTATAAATATTATGAGAAGTAAATGCAATAAAATACCTATTTTCTGAAAGTGTTTAAAATTATAAGTTAAAGATAATTTCTAACTTTTTTTACCTCCTTGTTTGAAGAAATTTTTTTTCCAGGAGTGTTTCTAAAGTGGCCATTTATGTTCCTTTTTGTCTCATAACATTTAAAACCTTGTCCTCACTTAAGGGACTTTCCCACATTCCAAGTCTTATAAAAGAACAAGTCCATCTCTCACTATAGAAATGAAAAATGTCAGATACTTTTCTCAGCTTTCCTTGCAGCTAATGTCAAATAGATAGTGTGAACTCAACTAGTTATAAACATTCCCAACAGCTGTCTGCCACCCCATCAGCCACCCACACACTGATGCTGAAGTTGTTGGATCTGGAAGCAAATGTCTGGCAGTGATGCGGGAGTGAGGGACTTAGGTGTCAGGTGACTAGGGCTTCCCAAGCAGTGGCAGCAACCAGACCCCAGAGTCTAGTGCTTGCAGGAGCACTGGCCAGACTGCAACACTGGTGTCCCACTCCTTCTCCTTCTCACTCCCAGGATACATCTCTGTGCAGGGGAAAAGCTACAAGCCTCCTGATCTACCACTCTCTACCTCTTCAACATTCAACTTTCCAATGCTGTCATCTCAGCAGTGGTATTTATTGGACAAGAGGGAAAATAGGGCAGCTGTGTCAGGAAAAATATCTAGCCATAGTGAGTCAGCTTCTTCCTCTGTTTTTGTCCTGAGAAGACCCAAGCTAATCTGAGTTCACATCTGCTCCACACCGTGTATTGCAGGACTGGACATAAGCTTCAGGGACAACTGCTGTTCAGGGTTCAAGAAGCTCTAATACATACAATGCATACAATGCTTTCAGAGTAACCATAAGGGAATGAGTTGACAGTATAGGGGAGTTAAATTCTTAAAAAATGGTATTAGTATTAACAATAATGTCTAATAATCACTGAAAATTTACTGTATGCCAGAATCCAGACAAGGTAGCCTTCTTAGTTATTTAATGTGCATTACCTTTTGAGACAGGCATTATTACTGCACCTATTTTCAGGTGAGGAATGTGAGGCACAAAGAGATGAAGAAATTGGCACAGAGTCAGGCAATTTCTCAGTTACAGATGCGAACAGTGATTAGCTGCAGACATTAAAAAATGCTTCAGTGTCATGGGAAGTCGCTCAGAATATAAGGTGAACTAAAAGAAGAGTAACACAAAACCTTGTACATGTTCCACATGTAACTTAAATATACTTATCATCCACAAAAATCACATTGCTATCTCTCTATATGCACAGAAAAAATTTATATGTTATCACCTTAATGACAAATAAATTTGGTCTTGGTGATATAATTACAGTTATATTTATTTCTATCTTACCTTGTTTCTCAGATTTCTTCAATAAGTATCTTTAGGAGCATGTCCCAAGGCACCTCCAAGGACCCCTCACATTCATGCTGAAGAGCCCTCCAGAGACCACCAAACATATCTTGAGATCATCAGGCCCACAAAAAGGAGTAATTTCTGACCAGCAGCCAGCACTAAAGGCCCAAGGTCCTGCTGACCCATCACTTCCTTCCCTCATCCCAATCTAGGCTACACCCACTTGCTACTGACCTGAGTTGCCCTGCCACCCAGTCTCCACTTTCCTGCTTCTTTTTGAGGACACGGTCTGTTCACAGGATGTCCCTGCTGGAAGCATTCACCTTCTTGTCCTTCTGGGCACGTAAGTAACAGTTCCTGACCTTTTCAGTCTAGATGAGAGAGCAAAGAAATTCTTTATTGTTTCTTATATTGTCAGAAGTTCATTGGAAATTCTCTTCTTTTACATACAGTTGGACTTGGGTTATCAAAATTGGAGCAGTCTCAGATATCCATTTCCACAGAAGTAAAGAAAAGTGTTGACATATACTGCAAGGTATCAAGCACAAATTTTGAAAACGACATCATTCACTGGTACCGGCAAAAATCGAATCAGGCTTTGGAACATTTGATTTATGTGAGCTCAACAAAAAGCCCAGCTCGAAGTAACCAAGGTGGGAAGAACAACAAAATTGAGGCAAGAAAGAATTCTCCAAGTCTCACTTCAATGCTGACCATAAATTTCATAGAAAAAGAAGATGTGGCCATTTACTACTGTGCTGGCTGGACTCACACTACTAGAACTGTTGAGACAACCCACACAATATCCACTACTTGGATCTGTGCCCACCCACATCCTTCCCAATAGTGGCAACCACAACCAGTACCCCCCTCTCCAGCTGGGCTCCTGAAGTCAGCCTTGCCTTTTCTGCAGCATTTCCTGAGCTCTTCAGAAAGTCGTCTTGGATTATGCTTGCACATAGCTCCCAGTTAATTCCAGGGGTTGTGTTTCCACAGCTTTATTTGACAATACATCCCAATTAATCTTGTGTGGGGACAGGGAACACAGGCTGTGCCACCATCTCACCAACCAGAGACTCTCAGTAAGTGGTCAAGGTGGCTAGAACCATTATCATCATGATAATGATGATATATTGCCCTTGGCAATATACTATTATTGTTCTATTTTCCAACTAAAAATTTAAGCTTGTAGAATATAAGTTTAAATGTCAGGCAAAGTCAAGAAGTCCATCCTTTTTGAACAGGACAATGAGACCACAATACTAAGTTCAAGGATGCAATACTTTAACTAGACAGTAGGGTATCTGGATCAAATTAGGAATGAAGCAAAGTCATTTTTCTGGGAGGTGTGGGAAAATGGTTTCAGCCAGCATGACATCATCAGGCCAGAGCTCCGAATTCACTGGGGATGTTAGATGAGCCCATTATATCTGGTAACCTTTGATTTTGCCTGTGAAAGTAGAGAGAACCTGCCATGATCCAAAGAACTAACAGTGTGTGTTGTGTGTGAGTTTGGGGTAGTCAGGGTGTGTGTGTAAGTTGCTAGTTTATGCTCTCAATTCTTTGAATATATTAGTTCCTTCAACTTATACTACTTATGTATCTGTTATCATCAAGTGTATTTGACTCAAGATGTAAGTGATATATTGATTCAGTCACTTGTTCAAGTTACACAGCTGATATGTAGCTACTTGACAGCATAGGGTAGAGACCCAGATAACCTGGCTCCTCTTGGCTGTTACACTAAAACCTTTCTAATTGCAAGAAAATAAAAGGATGAATACACTATTCCCATTCTCATAGGGGAGACAGAACTAAACATTATAGGACATTAACTGACACAAATTATCAATGTCTGCTGAAGCATGCACTCAGGATTTGAGTGATTGGGTATCCTTCAGAATAAATTAAATGCCAATAAATTACCAACTGACTTTTTGATAAAAAACAATACAAAGATCTATGTTTTCAATTTCTAAAAGTAGTGTCTGTAGTGGGTTTAAGAATATAGCTGCCTCCTTTAAGGTTCCTATACATGCTGCTCACCATAGTTAAAAATTACCCAATTAAAATCAATGTGTTTATTCTCTCTAGTCCCTATTTAATGACTATCGGTCTACTATTTAATTTTGAGATGTACTTGAAGGGAAAATAGAGTAATTTTCAGGCCAGGCAGACTCAAGAGATAGAGTTAGACATATGATCTGTCAGCCCTCTCTTACCTCTGGTGGGCTCATATTTCATGGAATTACATGGAGACCAAGACTATTTATGACCATGATGGTGTCTAAGTAGTCACAATGTTGTCTTCTTGAGCCTAAACAAAACCTTTTTAGTCCCTTATATATTTTATGCAGGGAAATTAGAGACCAGAACCTAAGTGACAAACATCACATGTGAGAAGATCCATTTCCAAAAGGAATGCATGGAAAGTGTAGATCTTCTCAAAATACCTTTGTTAATGTAGAAAAAGCATTGTTATTCAGCCTCAGAGTGTTTACAGAGAAACACACAACAGGAAATAAATGTTATGACAGCTTTTCAGTATGACTCAGAAAAAAATTAGTGACATACCTGTCCAGGTCATGAAGCATATTTCCTGTCAGTTGAGCACAAGAGAGTCATTATAATCCCTGAAACTGCTCATCTTAGCATCAGGTCGCACAGATCTCCATGGGACCACCTGACCTACCGCTTCTTCCTCTCAAACCCCCCTCCCCCTGTCCTGGACACTCCAACCAGGATCCTCACTTCCCTGCCTTCTCCCTGGTGACATAGTCTGGCAGACAGCAGGATATCACTGCTAGGAACATTTGTATTTTTCTTCCTCAGTGTTAGTGAGTCATTCTTCAATTTATTTGAACATGGATGAGAGATAAAAGAGATATTTTAATTGTTTCTTTTTCTATGTCACATGTCCATGAGAATTTCCACTTTTCATTTGCAGTGGGACATGGGCTTTTACAGTTGGAGCCACCTAAGATGTGAATTCCCAGAGCAATAGAATGTTCATATTGTATACGATGTCCACTAAAGACTTTGAAAATACAGTTCTACACTGGTATCAGAAGCAAGCACACCAAATTATGACACACCTGAAGTCTATCATCTCAATAAATATCCCAGCCCCAGTTCACTTCGGTGAACAAACAGTACATTTGAGGCAAGAAAAAGTTTTCAAAAGTCTATGTCAGTCCTTACCATACACTTCATAGAAAAACATATGGTCACTGACTAGTGTGCTGCTGGGACCCACAGCTCACAGGTGCCAAGACACCCAGCAACAGCATCCTCTGGGTCTCTGCCCCACTACAGCATTTCCACAGAGCACACTCAGCTAACTCCTGCCTGGGCTGCCAGCCTCCACCTTGCCTTCCCTGCTGCACATCTGAGTTTACAAGAAGGCAACTGTGCTTGCTCACATGTTAGGCCCCACCTTCAGCAGAAAGCATTTCTGACCATGGTGTTCCCAAATCTTCATTTAATATCACTTCCTTATGAATTAAATCTTGATTGGGAATGAGTAGACACAGGCCCCATTTAATCATATCACTGTCTAGATATTCCCACTAACAGGAATGGCTCAAACTGAGAGAGGGAAGCATTGCTGTCCTAGAGTACACACACATTGCTACAGATAATTATTACAACACTTCAGCACTATATCCATTGTTTGCCCATTTTACAGATAAAATATTTAAGCTCTGAGAGTTGAAGTGACTGGTCTAAAAACAAGAAGTTCATATATTTTTGAATTGGACCATGAGGCTACCCTGGAAATGTAAACATCACAATTCTATAACAAATAACATACTTGAGGTCAACTTGGGATGGAGCCAGTATCTTTTTACTTGGGGAGGTGGAAGGTAGTTCCTCACTTCACATTCAGGGCTGTGAGAATATTATATCATCAGAATACAGGTCCATTCCCCTAGGGTTGTTTGATAGCCCACCATATTGTGAGTGATCCTTGGTTCTGCCAATTAAAGAATGAGAATGGGCCCAGAGAATGAATAGCTAATAACTTTTTTGTGTGTGGAGCAGATGTCTATTAGTGTTCTCAATTCTTTGGGCATATGAAGTTCTTCAACCCTCACTGTAACCTGTGCGGTCTCTTCTCTTATGACTATGAATCCATTTAACTCATGAGGTAAGAGAGATAATTATGTATCCTAAAAGCTTCTCCCCGTCATATAGCTGACACAATGCAAAGTAGGGCTGAACCCATGTAACCTAGCTTCTGAGTCTGACCTATAGACTATAAGAGTATATAAAGAATGCTATGCATTGTTCCTACACCCATGGAGAAACCAAAACTAAACTTTGTGAAACATTCCCTGACACAATTTACTATTTAGTACAGAATCATGACATCATAGTGACAAGGATTTGAGTGATCAGGAGTTTTCACACAGTACATAAAATGTCAATAAATTATCACTTTCTTTCCCAAATGACAACCCTTTAATTCACACACTCTTCTTATGCAGTACTTGCTGTCACCCCATTGAAGAATATGGACATTTCCTTGCATGTGTGACATACATAGCCCTTTATTTATTTAATAATATCTAAGTTTATGACAACATATTCATTCTCACCATCTCCTCTTCTAAGGACCCTGGTTCTAGTTCTCAATTCAGGGAAGCCACTGGAAGAAAGAAAGGAGATTCACAGGAAAAATTGTGGTAGGTCAGCCTACCAGCCTTTCTCCTCTTACCTCTGTGGCACTCAACCTTTTGTGATTACATCCTATGTGATTCCTGACCATCTTATTCTCTCAGTGTTGACCCAAGTTTATTTCTTCAACCTATATAGGGTCTCATTGATCATCTGAACTGTTAATAAAAGCAAGTACAGAGAGAAAGACCTGAGAGAATCAAAAAGAATGAGAATGTAAGTCCTTTTCAGACAGGAATGCACAGATAAGCTTGTTGACATACCACCATCATCCTGTCTACTTGGTTGTCTCATTTAGTACTCAAAGAGCCTCATAGACCAGTAATGAGATGCTGACAGTGATATACTCTGTTGTGTTCAGATCTTAGAAGAAAACTCTCCAGCAGCTTTTCATATTTCAGGCTAAATGATTATTTACAGGAAAAGAGACACCAGGTTTACATTGCATTCAAAGAATAGACTATTATTCAGTCATTGAAAATAATGTTTTATTTTATTATATTTTACTAATAATTTTTTTAATTCACAATATAACATAAAGAAAAATTCATGAGTATCTAATAATAACTTTTAACAATAAAACATCTTGTAATGATAGTATAATAATAAAAGAATGGGGAATAAATTATCTAAACTTTTATGAATGATTATTCCTGAGGGAATAGGTGATTTTATTTCTTCTATGTATGTTGATTAACTTTATATATTTTCCTAAATAAGCTACCATGGTTGCATCATAGAAAATAATTTAACAAAGTACATTTGGTTTTGTTTGATAATAATACTGATAATGAGAATTTCTAACATTATTGACTTGTGATATGTCAGGTATTAATATTTGAGTGTTCTGTGCATTACCGTTGTGCACAGTGATCATATAAACCCCTTAATACCTTGAAAGATACACATGCAGGGAATGTATAATGTAGAAAGTGAGGCACAAGAAGGTTAAGTAACTCAACAAATGTCAGATAAGTTAGCTGGTATAGGAAGGTGTTTAATTATAACTTTTGTCATTAAATAATGCTCACATAGATTAAAGACCTCAACATTGCTTGCTAAGAAGTTAATTGAAAAAAGAGAATATGAAGCCAAATATTCAAATTCCACTTAAAAATGTTTATTTATATATAATATCAAGCAATCCTATTTCTATTCATAAATATG